TAGATATTCTTGAGTGCACCTGTATATTTTAGTTATATCACATGCATTGGCTGAAGATGTTACACATGATTTGATATCCTCCTACTGAGTGAAATCATAGTCTGAAGCATAAATATCAGCATCTGTGCCAATCATACACTACAAGATTTGCTATGAATTTGGTCAACTGGTCAGACTGACAAAAAAACTGCAGACAGGTTCTGACTTTCAGCAACTAGTTTTGACTCATCCCGACAAATTGTGGAACAAATCTGGGCAAAACTAGTGTATGCCAATGTTTACAAAACAAGGAATAATTTTGACCAATCCTGACCTACTGCAAGACAACTGAAAGGCTTTGTCTTTGCTGTGACACCAAATAGATAATCTAATAGTTTGAGGCAGTCCAAAAATCAGAACAAATTCATGTTCGAGCTTAACTGGCTGTGCAAAGTTGTTTAGCATGCATCATAGAGACAGACTTACATGAGTGAACACAAAAGACGTCTGAAGAGTGAAAGTTGGTCTGGTGGATTGATCAATCTATATTTCACCCATATTGGTCCAACCCATATTGGAATGAAGCAGAATTGTGATGTGTGGACAGTTGAACAGCTCACAACCAGTATGGCCAATTACTGTCCATTTCAGAAGCATCCTGATCCATCAATATATGCGGTGTCCAGACCTGCTCCTAGAGACCCAGTGTCCTGCAGAATTTGGCTCCTAACAGATTTGCCTGGAAGATTTTAGTAATCCTGAAGACCTTGATTAGCAGGTTCGGGTGTGTTTAATTTGAATTGGAGCTAAACTCTGCAGGACAGTGGCCCTCCAGGGTTTGGACTAACCATCCCTGATCAACATAGTGAAAACTTGGTCATTCCATGTCCTTTCAGCAAGATGATAACCCCAAACATCTCAATCTTCTCTATATTTGGATGGCAATGGATGTGAAAGACTTTATAAGTCTTCAGGTCTCAATATCTGAAGTTATAAGCAACCAGACAGAAACAAAGTTACCCACAAGATCCCTAATTCTCTTGGAGTTATTGCAGAAGAGTCAGGCAAAAATGCTGAAAAAAAAAGCAAACATGTTTGTGACTGTTGTATTTGGCCAAGGGCAGTTTTCTCAGAAATATTTTATTCTACTGGACTTAATAATTGAAGAACAGTCAGGAACTCACCTCACCTTCAAACAAGTCCAAATGAGGTACGTAGACCAAAAAAATAATAATAATTTGCTGGACTTAAAACCCAATGCATCCTTGAAATTTCTTGAGTGATGCCTGAAATAACTGTAAAGGTACAAGAGGTTTTTTATTCTCAGGGAGATCTTTACTGCCACTGTCACCTTGTTGTTGTTCACTGGTATCTAGACCTTGAAGGCGGGGTATGTATTTTTTCAAAAACGCTTTAGAAAACTGAGTCGGGCCGAGTACCAAAACAAACTTGTAGCCAATCAGCAGTAAGGGGCGTGTCTACTCATGATGGGGAGGAGAGAACGTTCAGTGCACAGGACGGACATTAGCCGAGCTGAGCGACGCTAGAAAGATAGAGATGGCAGATAAAAAACAAAAGAAGAAAACGTCTGCGGAACAAAAGAAGGCTTACGATAAGGCAAGAAGTAGGGCCCGTGTAAATATCGGTTCAGCTTTCCAGCGCTGGAGAGAACTCAAGGTGCGGGAAGGCCTGCTATCGGACGCCGAGGTTGCTTTGCTTCACACGGAGCTAAACCATTCACGTTAAAACACAAAACACATTTAACCTGTGTTACCATAGTAACACACATTGCTTTCACTTATTGATGACATCATACCCTCGGCCAGCTGGCACAGCAGATTCCACCATAATCGTTGCCTGGGTTGTGTACGTATATGCGGGGTGGAGCTATTAAAATAGGGGCGAGACCCTTTTGGGGTAAGGGCGTGTTTGTTTTGGTGATTTGAAATATCAACATTGGCGACCAGAAATCACTTACCCCACCTTTAAGTTTTTGAAATTATTGTTAAATGTGCTTTACACAAAGTTGGAATTGAACTGAAAATCGCTACAAGGCTTTTGTGATCATAACTGGCATTTCTGTCAATGTACGGGAATCTCCCTGGAATCTGGTAGCTGGCAGGCAGCTATGGAGACAAGTAGCAGGTGCCTCACAATTTGCAGGATCCCTCTGCGCAACACGCCAAATTTTAGTAATGACCAGCGAGTGTTCCACTCTCACAATTAGGAGCATAGCTGGCATACAGCCCAGAGCCGACCTATGAGACCCCAGAGTTCAGAGCCCAGCAGTGATGTGTCACAAGTCTGCTACTGCAAACTACATGACCCTCTCTCTACAGAGTGTCTGCTCTGCCCTCCAAAACATCTGTCCGCTCTGCCTGAATATTATTGAAGCCGAGAACGGTGACAAAGACAGACCAATCTGACCGTGGTCTGAAATTACACCTTCAGAGTTTTAATCGCCTGCATCCAGTCCTTTTTTTTTGGATTTAGTTGTCTTCTTTTAAATGGGGCACTGTCTTTTAGATAACCATTTATCATTTGTCAGTTTAACACATTGTTTTTAATCTCACTGTGAGTCTGATATGTTGCTTAATTGTGTTTTGAGTTGGTTTTAAATTCTATCCTAAACTCAGAGTATATGAACTTTTTTGATGACTTTTAGCTCCAATGGTTTCTTAGTAACAAACTGTGGAAATGTGAATATGTGAACAGATTGTTTATTTTATGTTTATGTGGGGGGGAAACAACAGAAAAATGGAGAATTAAGTACTTGGCTGAAATGTACACCAGAATTCTGGAACAAATTTGGTTCATAGCATTTTGGGTCCTTCAAACCCATTGAAGCTGTACGGTAATGAGTGGTGACACTGAGAAAAAGCACACCAGCTTTTTTTTTTTTCCTTTTTCTCTTTTCATGTGCTAACAGTTATAAAGTTTAGACGTTGTCTCTGGATACTTGTTTTTCTTAGGCTTGGTTTCACTTTAACAACCAACTGTTCATTTAGACTAATTCCCAAGCTTTCTGCTGTGTTTTAAGCAATTAAAGGTATTTGAGTGAGATCACTTTGTTGTGAATATTATAACTAGAGCCACCTACTTTTGTGCTTTTATACAGTATGTACTGAGGCAGCAAAATCAATGCAGGCAAAGCCAAAAGAATCAATGACCTGATCATGAAGGCTGTTTCAAGCGCTTCAACATCCTGAACAACACCTTCCATCTACTCCATGGGGCTGTTATTGTACAGTGAAGCATGTTTAGCAACAGGCATCGTCCATCATGTGCAGTGGAAGAGTTTTGGAGGGGTTTTTTTCATGCTGCTGTCAAAGCTATTTGAGGCTTTAGCCATTCTATCTGTTTATCTTGTGCCCTAAGTCCTTTTCCACCAATAAATTACCTTCCATATTTATGAATAAACCCTGGACCTGTGGATGGGAAAAGTAATGGCATGGCAATAGAATAGTTTATTGCATAACGGGTTATCTTTTAAACTACCTCCTACATCTGTACAGATTTACTGTACATTAGGATGGTGCCATCAACACACAATGTCTGAGAACAACATGTTAGAGCACGGACATCCCATGTGAGTCAGCTTATCTGATTATCGTTTTGCCTAGACTTATACAGTAGTGATGAAAGATAACTTGACAGATCAAAACATCATTGAAGCTTAATGGAAATTTTGTGTGTGCGCGTGTATATATATATATATATATATATATATATATATATATACACGCATAATATTAGCATGCATATTACTAGCATATTGGCTGTTTATTACTACTTATAAAGCACATATTAATGCCTTATTCCGCATGACCATATTTTAGATCCTTTAATTCTACCCAATACCTAAACGTAACAATTTTTATACTAACTATTAATAAGCAGCAAATTAGGAGTTTTGAGGCAAAAATTGTAGTTAATAGTTTGTTAATAGTGAGAATTGGTCCCCAAACTAAAGTGTGACCGAAATTTTATTTTTGGGTGAAGTATCCCTTTATTCACAATTGCCCAAATCATTATTGAAGATTATTGGAAAGTTTGTGAAGTGTGAATTAAGTTTCCTTCTTTCCACAATCAATCAGGCTCGTTCATGGGAAGAACTCTTATTCCCTTTATTTGTCATGCTTTTCTTTATGTTTTTGTTCATGTTTATTCTTTGCTGTACTAAGCGTTTCACTGTGCTTTATATCTACAAACTAGATAATGTTCTTGATAATGTACATGAACTCTACCTGCAAATCATCTGTTAGCAGAAACTGTGCTGTTGAAAGCAGTGCACTTTCAGCACCTGGTTTCCTACGTAGGTCTTTCTCAGCATCTGTTAGATATTACCAGGGTAATGACTGGTAGTTGTGTTCAAAGTCCTTCTCAATCTACAGTCCTGCACGACAGCTTAGGTCATAGAAAACTAAAGCATAAACACATTTTGTTCTTAAAGGGCTTTTATTGTTTGAGTTTTAGGGGAACATTCGTCTGTTTGTCTTTATTTCATGGCTGTGGAGTGTTCTGCTGGAAATCAGGCCTTGAAAGAGTGTTGATACAGACATGTGGGTCAGCAGCCTCTCTGGATAATGTCACTGCTTCTATCTATCTATCTATCTATCTATCTATCTATCTGTCTGTCAGGGTCTAAAGTCTTATAAATAATTTTAAAGATATATATCACAAAATTATATTGTGATTTATACTGTACATACATATAGACATGAAGTTTGCTTAAAGGCGTATGTCCAACACAAACACACGTGTGTGTGTGTGTGTGTGTGTGTGTGTGTGTGTGTCAATTAACACTCTGACTACATTCATATCACACGTCTAGAAAGCAGAACCTTGACACCTCCGCACTGCTGCTTGCAGGTTAGTACCCGGAACTGCTTCTATCTATCTATCTATCTATCTATCTATCTATCTGTCTGTCTGTCTGTCTGTCTGTATGTATGTATATATATATATATACAGTACTTGATTGATGTGTCATTAAAGCTTGGTTGTGTTTATTTTTGCAGAATGCTTGAGGATGACCTGAAAATCAGCAGTGATGAAGAGGACAATGAACAGGTAAATTATGCAGCCAGACAGATCAAGCTTTGGACAGTCTGAACTATCTAAAATATAGCTGAATTTCAGGACAAAATATTGTTTGAGCTTGATTCACAGTCTCACCCTGAGCAAACGCTGGATTATCAATATAATGAGCTTCGAGAGAGAGAGAGAGAGAGAGAGAGAGAGAGAGAGAGAGAGAGAGAGCTAAAGCTGAGTTGTAGCGGCATATATATTTTTGCCTCTTTCTCAAAGTGGCCACATAAACCCCCGTCTTAATTTCTCCCTATTTATTGCCATTAAAGGCCTAAATACATAAAATAAAAATTTTAATAAAATAAAATACCTTACATAAAAGGAGACGAGAACATTATCCTTGAAATGTCACCCCCTACATGTATTACTTAATTAATTGGCAACACTTTCAGCTTGAGGAGCACTTTTGCCCTGCAACAGACCAGAGGTTTTAGGCCATTTTACCATATTAACTACACAAATTAAAAGGCATATTTCAGATTAAATAACAAATTAAGCTCAACAGGTTCGTGGGCATATGCATATGGGGCAAATATACAGCAGTTGTCTATAGACTTTTTTCTACAAAATGAGACACAAGTCAGCATTATTTTCTGTGGTAACTGAGCGTGTCAAAGGCAATGTATTAAGTTGAATTGAACCCACAATATTCTCTTAATATGGAGATTTCCTGTTGCCTTGTTCATTTTGAAAAGAATAAAGAAAATTACTGGATTTTTTGAAAAATGACAAAAAAATATGTTTTTTTTTTCATTAAAAAATGTCAAAGATCATCTATTAGAAGTTGATTAAAGTCACAGCATTTGAACAACTGAATAATAGTACATGCTCATACTATGTCCTTGAATACTTGAATATAATACAGCAAAGACTGTTAATTATGTCTCAGTTTACTTTTTAGTTATCTAATGTATTTTCTCAACCTTCAAATTTAAAAGGATAGTAGTAAATGGATGTACAAAAAGACATAATTTGTTATGGATTACTAGATAATGGGGTTTGAGCTGTTTGGGTCCAACAAGCAAAGCAACTTGTCATTAAATGTGTAAAATCCTGGATAAAAAAAAAAGAAAAGGATTATCTCACAAATGAACCAAGCCCTGCAGGGATGATTCTAAACCCATAATACAAAATAAATACCACAGCACAAAATACTACTTCCACATATGTTATACATATAACAACAATTTTAATGAAAATAAAATAACATTTGACCATAAAACTGGCCTGTTTTTCACCTAAATTGAAATAAAAATGCTAATAAAGGTCTGCGAGTAGCTCATCAAATAAACTACTTAAAGGGTTAGTTCACCCAAAAAGGAACATTTTGTCATCATTTACTCACCATAATGTAATAAAAAATAAAAAATAAAAAAAAAACAACTATGTAATTCAATGGAACCCAAAATCGTTTTGGTTACCAATGAGTAAATGATGACAGAATTAGGGCTGGGCGATATGACGATATTATCGTATATCGACGATGTCTCGTAAGTATCGCGATGTCGATGTCAACAGTCAGGTAACAGACGATTATCGACATTATCGGGAAAAAAATGACAAATGATAAACCTAGTAAGTTGCAAAAAATATTTTACATAGCCCCATAGTCACTATACGGGTTTTTTTGCATGCAAGAATGAAATAATTTAGTAGGAGGCTTGGGAATCGAAAAGCTATTCCAATTTCGGAAATCAGATCAGATGCGGAAGGTCAGGAATCAAATTAGCCTACTTTTTATAAAATTACATTTCAATTCTGCATCTCGATTTCTGTATGCGCATTTATTGTGATTTCAAAAGATTCAACTGCAAGAAGACGAAATAGAACTCACTTCTGCACACACAAACACACACAAAGCGCCCACACAAAAGCCGCCTCTTATATACGCAAACACTGGACTGAGCTCTCTTTCTCGCGTTCTTACACATTCGAATGGACAAATACACACAGAATTATTAAAAAATATCCCATAAATACAATCGGTTCTGTCTTAAGTGAACGTAAAGAGTTGAGAAAGAAAACAAGGGTGTATTGGGTCCGTGCATTGACAGTGAATATTTATTTAAACAGACTGTATAATGATGAAAAACCACAAACATGACAGGTATAATTAAAATACGCAAATTCCTTCAGCGCACATTTCAGTGCAATATTTTTACAGATTTTGTAAACCGTGTATACAATATAATTATGTTTAATTAAGCTGAGATATAGGACTATAAATTCGTAATTAATTTGCAACAAAACTATACATTTTGTTGCAAACGGCTGAAGACATTAGTAGGCTTCTCAGCTCGCCCCTCAACATGCACGCGTTCGGAGTTTCGGCAGCCCAACACTGAATATTATATTGTGAGCGTTGTATTTTGATTAATAAAATAAAAATTACAATATAAAAATTTAATTTTAATTACCCTGCTTCTAAATAAATAAAGCAGTTATTTTTATTTCGTTAAAAACGGACTGAAATAGACCTCCAAACTAGTAGGCTACCAGAAAGGAACGTTCAACGTTTTTGCTCAGAATTCATTTTTAATCCCTGCATGATTTTAGTCATACATGATCAATATCAAATACGTTATAGCTTGACTACAAGTTTAAAAAACAACGCTGCAATTGTTATAATTAAGGAAATTAAACTTACCATGATGAAATGGGTCTACACAGGCGATAATGCCAAAAAGAAAGAGAAACATCGCATATTTTATTCAAGACATTATTATATGACATCAACATGCATTTATCATTCTTACAATCACCGCCAGAATGTCCAACTTCACCACGATGAACTTCAAATCGGGTTCTATTATTTTTCCTCAACAGTTCTCCTCACAAAACGAAATTCATTTCAAACACAAATTTGATAAGAACAGAGTGGAAATTATTAGTAATACCAACATGACAGCAAAGCTAATGTTTTCTGTTAGTTTAAGCACAAACTAAGAAAAGTAAAACCAAACTTTATGGCAATAATTAAGACCAAATTGAACATGGTGTGTGTTTATGGTGCGTGTCGGCAATGTTGTCTCGGCAGGGGCGGGGCGTGGTGGAGGTGGGACTTAGGTAGACGATATTATCGGATATCGCGATATTTTTAAAGGCGATTATCGATACGATATTTTTGACATATCGCCCAGCCCTTGACAGAATATTAATTTTCAGGTGGACATTTACATGGTTTTATGTTGAGATTTGTAACAGATTTCTGCATAACTTACAGCTGAACAGTTGACGAATTTTCATTGCTTTAGATCGTTCAGACTACACTGCTGTTTTTGTTTTGCCATAAAAAGGTTTTTATCCTGGTTTCTGTTGTGAATTGAATATTTAAGGTCTGACATAGCACACGTTGATCATGTTTGAAATGGCTTTGGCCCTGTGTTGATTTCAACAGGCGCTGTGCTAAACCATTCCGTCACACTGGCTTTTTGGAAAAGCTAATGTGATCCGAATCACAATAGTGATGCCCACTCTCACACGCCCCCCTAATAAAACCCTCCTCCTCCTCCTGTTTCTCACATACATAGCCTTAAAGCAAGTGCCCAAATACTCCTTACACTCATGATGGAGGCGACCTGACATTCATAAGAGTTCACTAGGACGTGTTCTTGTGTGTATGCGAGCATTTGTATGTCCCTGGCCACGTGTGGGTTTACCTACGCACGCCACCGCCAGCAGCAACGGCCCCCAACCATGTTGCCTAGCAACATCCATCTGCGAGCAGCCTGGAATGAGCCCAAATTCCCCACTGAGAGGGAAACAGCAATAAGAGGGCCTGTGACAGATGATCTGAGTTGTTTCATCTAATACACTGTGAAGATCACTGGCTCCCTCCCTGAATGATAAATGGACTGTACACAGATCAATGGCTGCAGTATTAAACCCAAAACCTGCATCTCTGCTTCTGCAGCTGCCCAGGTAGCGGTAACCCGGCACTGTGTTCATCTGTAGTGCTGGATATCTCAATATATCCCTATTTAACTTGAGAGATTTGATTCTGAAAGTAGCGCTTATGGGCCAGTAAAGCACTCTATGATGCATTTACTACAGCCAAAGGAGTCACTGTGACAAACATACAGCTCAGACCTAATAAACAGTGTGCTGTCATAGAGGAACGTGCAGATTAGCTCAGGAAAGGAATCTCATTGAGTGAAGAGATTGTTTTTATATTAGGCTAGGGCACTTAGTGATAGTCAGTAGAGGATTTCTTTGACAGGCCTTACGTAATATAATTTTTCCAAGTCAAATGAAATTGTAATTTATAGTCAATGCTTAAATTTTGTTTACTGTTTGTACTGTTTTACCAGTAATCTGCTGAACGTTAATTCAACAACATATTTCATGCTCAACAAGTTTAAATGACAGAATTTACTAACAAATACTATGATTGGGTATTTTTTTTTTTTTGCTTTGTTTTGTTTTGCTTCAAATACACTAGGTAAATATCTTAATACATAAATGTTTATTTAAAGTACCAGTCCTTATGGTCCGATATCATCACTGTACTAAGGTATTTATTAATTGCTTGATACAAAGTGATGCATCTCACAAAGCCTGTCAAATGCCTAGGTCATTTAACTATGTAAGTAAATAAATAAATAACTTGCATTTTGCATAAATACATTGAAGCCTGTTTTGTTTTGTTTTGTTTTGTTTTGTCTTGTCTTGTCTTGTTTGGTTTTGTTTGGATTTGTCTTGTTTTGTTTTGTTTTGTTTTGTTTTGTTTTGTTTTGTTTTGTTTTGTTTGGTTTGGTTTGGTTTTGTTTTGTTTTGTTTTGTTTTGTTTGGATTTGTCGTCTTGTCTTGTCTTGTCTTGTTTTGTTTGGATTTGTCTTGTCTTGTCTTGTCTTGTCTTGTTTTGTTTTGTTTTGTTTTGTTTTGTTTTGTTTTGTTTTGTTTTGTTTTGTTTTGTCATCGCTCTGTCTTTTTTTTATAGTAGTTTGTAAATTGGGCTACACTGAAGCTGTAAAGCGACAATAAACCTGGTTTTTAGACTGGCTGTTGGTTGTTTGGCTGTGAGCAGGTTTAGACATGCAGCCTTTTTTGCATTTTATCATTGAATTTAAGGAAAGATCTGCAGAAATGTGAGTTGAGAGTAAAAATGGTAGCTAAAAACATTAGCCAGATGTTGAACACCTAAGGGCAAGAGTGCCATGCACTGCTTTGCTTTGCTTTGCTTTGCTTTGCTTTGCTTTGCTTTGTTTGGTTTTGTTGTTTTGATTTGTTCTGTTTTTAAAAAGCTTTGCTTTTTACAATGATTGGAATTACATGGAAATTACCAATTTGTATAGTGAAAAAAATTAAAACAGAAACATTTTTACATCCATTAAAATCCTAATTGGTACTAAACAGCCTTTTTCATGTTTATCTTCATTTTTTTATGAGATCGATCTATATGTGCTCTATATATATACTATATGGGTTGCCAGGGGTAATACTAGTTAATTGACTGTATTTGTTTTACTACTGCTTAGAAAGCCCTAGGAAACACTATAGAATCTTATGAGCAACATGAATTACCGAACACTGCTGTGAACTCAAGAAATCACAGGAATTTACAAATGCTCTGCCTGAATAGAATCTCCATCCTAGAAAATCAATATAAATTTCCTCAAGCAACACTGATCTACTGTTTCTGGTCATGCTTAACTGTTCTCTCTAAGTACTTTCAAATAGACATAGAGCAAGTGAGTCCATAAGGGGAAACCAGCAAACACTCAGACATTGTGATCTGCCTATTTTGCTGTGTTTGGATGTTTTCTGCTCTCTCTTTCTTTCTCTGCACGCTATCAACCTTTAATCTGATTGGCTGTTGTCTTATTCACAGGCCGCTGAGAAGCCCAAGCCCAGGAGCGCTCCTCTCAAGTAAGTGACTAATCAAGTCCAATTCATTTCTTATTGTGTGCTGCTGCTGGTGTGGCTGCTGGGTAAACAGCAGGTTATTTGTAGAGACGGAGCACAGGAAGTAATCGCTTGCATAAAGTGCTGCGAATGCTGATGTGAATGACATAACACCTTAGTTGTAGTGGGTGTGGGGTTGAGAGCCAAAGGCTCTAGGCTCCGAGTGAGGGGCAGGGGTTCGTCCCAGCTGCAGTTAGTGAGGTGAGAGGAGCGGGGGATTGTGGGTGCTGGTTTAGCCTGGTTACAGTAATAGTGGTTAAATGCACTGAGTGGATTTGTTCAGGAAGTTTCAAATGTGACTATTCTAGTGGAAGCAGAAGCAGCCAGTATTTATTGCTTTTATGCTTTTATATCTATTGTTATTAAACAGTGGTACCAAAGATGTAAAAAATTTTCAATAAATGGGTAAATTTATTATTCATTAGTATTAATTATATTTTTTTATATGTTCTGGGGGGAAAAAATGTGAGTGGTGTTTGCTATGATTTACAGAGCGTTGCTATGTTGTTGCTAAGGTTCTTTGAGTGTTTTTTTTTTAAATCAAGTAATATCATTTTTGATTAAAAATACAATTTTGTGTATAATGTATTAAACATTAAGTTAATTATTAATTAATCTTTTTTTAATGTAAGGTTTTTATTCAGTGGATTTTGTATGTCCATATATATATA